GTTTTTTTTAATTAGAGCCAAAATATCGTAATCTTCATCCCAAAATTGGTAGGAATTTTAAAAAAAAAAAAAAAAAAAAGAACGCAAAAATTTGGAAATTGATAAGATAGAGTTGTGAACAAAAAAAAAAAAAAGAAAAAAAAGTAGCAACTCGACAAGCTCAAATTGGAGAAAGATAGGCTTGTAATTAAAGATAAAACGGAGGGCATCGATAGGAACAAATCATATTTCAATTGGATGAAACGCGCACCGATTCCGTCCGCTGCGCTTTTGGCGTTTGAACCGAACTCCTCTCTATAAAAAGGAAGGAGTCGAGTGTTAACTTTAACCGTGTCGGCGTTACAATTCAAAACACCATGGACGTTTTTATACTGGAAGAGTACGTTAGGAGGAATACATGGAGAAGAGATCGACGGCCGCTGGTAATTCCGGCAATGGATCAACGGGAATGGATCGGAAAAAGGGAAAACAAGGAAAAAGAGGAACAGAAATACTGGGGAGTTCTATGCCGGAAAACCACCGGAATTTATTTTCCGGCAACCAAAGTGAAGAGGTGGTGCTTAACTTCTTCACTTCTTGAGCAGAAGAAGCAATGTGGTTTATGGGGATGAAATGGATGTGAGGTTCGAGGCCCCATATTTTGATTTTGGAAATGCTGTGTAATTTTTATAGATGTTTTTTTATTTTTTAACTGTTATGTAAATTTTATTGGGAGGGTGTTTTTTTCTTTACTTCTCTTACTATGTAGCAGGGGTAAAAGGGGGGCTTAAGTTTTTTAGTTTTTACTTTTTATGAGTGACATGTAAATACAGAATTTGTTATGGCTTTTGGTGCCGATTCCTTTTTTTTTTTTGCAGCCTCAAATTTTATCATAATATTTAATTTTTGGTATAAAGTAGTTTTAGGATTATCCGAAAATCTATTTTTATATGTAATTATAAATTTTTAAACTTCAAAAGTGGGTAAAATCAAGTAGATCTTTATATAAAAACTTGAAAATTGGCGGTCTAGATAATGTATTGCAAGATGAACGGCGAGATGATCAATTAGAGGGTTTTTCAATAGTAAAACAATCCTTTCGATAGATTTTTGAGGTGCATCTTCAATTCTACATTTTAAGGTTGCAATCTTATATAAAATTTGTCCTTTTCTAAAGGGTGTGGTTTCTGTAGGGTTGCAACATTAAACAATCCAATTAATGCACCTCCAAATTTTATCGTAACATATAATTTTGTTATAAAAAACTCTTAGGATTATCTGAAAATCTATTTTTGTATCTAATTATAAAATTTTAACTCTAAAAATAGTTAAAATCAAGTAGATCGATAAACATATACAAATCTTGAAAATTGACGGTCTAGATAATATGTTGCAAGATGCACTATTTTTGAGATTCAAAATCTTTGTTTTCTTCATATTCACACATCTCAATGTCAAGATGATCAATTCAATGGTTTTTCCGACATTAAAACAATAACTTTGGATGGATTTTTTAGGCGCATATTTAATTTTACATTTTAAGGTTGCCACCTTATATAAACTTTTTCTTTTTCTAAATGCAGTTGTTGGTTTGTATATATATGTACTGATATACTAAGATTTAAAAAATGGTTTAGTGATATGGATTGGCCATCTTGAAAACTGGATAGAATCAGTGGATCGACGATTCAGATTGGTTAATTGGCCTGATCGACCTCAAAAAAATTTAAAAAACTCAGTAAAAACCCATAAAGATTGTGTTTTGAGTTTCCAGTAAAAATGGGGTTTGAGTATTATGTACTTCTAGTATTTTGAAAAATTAGTGAATATTAAATCTTCATTTGCCTGTCTGGATAATTGTTGACTATTACATTCACACCAATAGAAAAAAAAAAAGATAGTATATAATCATCATGGATATATTTATTCTATCCAAAATACAATTATTGAAATAAAACCTAATACCAATATAAAAATGTTCTTTCTCTTCGTCATAATGGTGTCAATCTTTGAATATTCTCATCAATTCACTGACTTGCTCAATGTACACCTCATAATTGTCAGAGCCGAACTAACTATTCCTTACCATTTAAGTTAGGTAAAAGTTTATATAAGTGCGTCGGCCTTATACAAACCGCACCCTTTAAGTTAACCTTCATTTAAAAATTTAATTCCAAATGTAACTTCTTTTATATTCATAAATTCACATTGTTTCTTAATATTGAATATTTCAAATCTTATTTTCATGTATGCTATAATACTACAATCTAAAAGTAGAGTTATTGAGGTTATAATTGTACCATAGAAATATAAATAAATTTTAACTTTATTTTATAATAACTTCAAATATAAAAAAATTTATCATTTTCATTTGTAATAAAAAATTATATATTATGTATTTTATAATATAAATAATTAATGATATTGTCTACAAAAAGACCCTTTATATTTTGTATAAGGAGGTCACAATCACTTTTGTTCCTTAAATTTCAACATGAGTGGTTGGAAGAATGTCATTGAATAGACAAGTTCCAAAAAATATCTTGAACTTTGTAACTCACCCTAAACCATCTATACAAAAGATAAGGGAAAAAGTTTAGAGCCGAGGCTCTAAACAATCAAGTTATAGCCCACCTCAAAATTTTCACCAAAAGATGTTGTTTTGATGCCCAAATGTCCTCAAATTGATTATCTAGACCTCAAGATGCATGAACATGAGACAAAAAATGGATTTCAAGTTTTGGAAATAGAGCATCTAGTAATGTATTTTTGGACCGTCAATTTTTTAGATTTTTAAGTTCTCATAGATTTGCTCGATCTACACTATTTTTGAAGCTTTAAATTATATAATTATATATGAAAATATATTTCAAGTCTATAACAAAGATTTCCAATATTGAAACCACATTTCACGACACTATTTGAAGGTGCACTCTACTTTGATTGTTTAGAGCCTCGGCTCTATACAAACCGCATCGAAAGATAAATGATCCCTTTGTAGACATTCCCATAATTAATTACTAAATTACAATACTCGAGTTATCATTATATTAATATATTACTTCTAATATCGAAATGATCTACCTTAATAAAAAATGATATATTAATATGATAGATAGTAAATAAGATAAATAAAAAATGAAATTAATAAAATAAAAATATAAAATAATCTATCTCTCAAGCGAGTTTAATTGAAGTGGATAATTAAACAGCAAATTTACGGAAAATAAAGAAATCAATTGGGCTTATAGAGAGAGAGAGAGAGAGAGAGAGAGATAGAGAGAGAGATTGATTTGTGGTGGATGGTAGTTATAGATATTGGAGGATTAGATTCGGTGGGGATGAATGATACCTAAGAGAATGTGGGGAAGACATTTTCCAAATAAATCTTTGTAATCATTGAAAAAGAAAAAAAATTAGAGCATCATCCAGAGAATGGGAAATTTCAAACTCCATCCAACATGGAGTTTGAACTTGTTTTAAAAACTAAAAAATAACGACTTCCATTCAATAACTGTATCGAAATCAAACTCAAAATTACATAAAATCAAGTAAATATTTTTTTTTGGATTGTGTATTATGGTACTATTTATTTTTGAAGAATAATTTCATGCAACGGTTGTATAGTAGTATAATCCAACCATGTTAGAGACATTTGTTTGACATAAATTTTTAAATGTACACTCTTTTCGTTCCGAAGAACAATCACAAATTTGTTTTTTTTGATAAAATGCTCTAGAAAGTTTTCATTCTAGCCCAATTAATATAAGGCGTCTATTTTATTAAGATGGTTAGATATAGGCCTTAGAATGATTTTTTTATTCCCAAAATGTTTATATAGCATTATCATCATTATATTAATAATACTAAAAAAAAAAAGGTGATTTTTTAATTTGTTTAGGCCTAGATCTTGAAAGTCACCAAATGGATGGTCAAGATTCATTGTTGGATGGGTACTAATTTGATTATATCTAGAGTGCAAATTGAATTTTGTTTTTTGTAGGATAGATTATGAGGATGAAAAAAAAATATATGTAAACTTTAAGGTCATACATATGCAAAAAATATAGTTTTCTAAAGGTGTGGTTACATTATTATACTGTACAACTATTGCATTAGATCATTTTCCTTTATTGTTACTATAAAAATGTCACACTCACTTTTAGCCGGTGGATGTGAAATGAAAGTGTACATTCAAGAAATCTTACTTTGGCCTTTGCGTCCAATTAATAATATATCTTTAGCTACCCAAATTTGAAATCTAACAATGAATGATGCAAATGGTCTCATCTCATATATTTGCTTTTTGTTTTTCTTTAACTCATAGAAAATTGCCATTCAAGTGCTGGGAAACCTTTAAATCAATCATCTCCATTTGAATATTATGATTGTGAAAAACAATTGGGATTTCAAGATGTAAAAATAGTTTATATTACAACAAATTATCTAGGCCTTCCATTTTGCCCTACAAATAAGTGTTCACAGATCCACAATATTTGTGCAATTTTTTAAGTTTCAAAATTTATTATCGGTGTTGAAAATTGATTTTTGAGCCATCACATAAACTTCTAATGCGAAAATGCTTTCCGGATTAAGATTTGAGATGAGGCTTTATTTTGTTTTTATAAAGCCTAAGCCTTATAGAAACTTCATGAGCCGCATCAACCAGAATCCCTCGGTTTAATCCAATATCAATGGAGGGTGGAAGCGATCTGGTTCTAGCGAACCAAGGTTCAATTCCCACCAGCTAATTGTTTGTTATTACTACTGTTTTTTAGTGCTCTCAACCAATCCGATCCAATCAGTATTTCTAGTGAAGATTGGTTATTGGTGACCGGGTTTGGCAATCCATTTTTTTGAGTAGTTATGGCTAACAGAGCGGATGGTGCAAACACACTATTACGGATATACTAATTTTAAGAGAGTTTTCTATTCAAAATTTTACAAAACAACTAAACCCCATGATACCATACCTTGGTTGTCATGATCATCTATCTAAACATAAACTAGATCGAGGAGCAAAGCTGCATTTTTATGAAACTGAAACTGAACTTCTATTATGTAAACATAAACTAGATCGAGAAGCTAAGCTGCATTTTTATGAAACTGAAACTGAACTTTTATTATGTACATATAAGATCTTCATGATCTATTTTTATACATTCTTCCATTATGTTACCATCAAACTATAGTGTTCAGGTTAGTGCACCAGCTAGGAGCTTTAATCCTCAAAGTCCGGACAGCATCCCATCCCAATGAATAGCCACATGAGCTCTTGGCCCTCCTCTGGTGCCAACCCCTCGAGCTCCTCGTCACTCACCACTCGATTTCCATTCAGATCCAACTTTTCAAAAACGTCTTTAAAAATATCCCCGACATTAATGCTAACCAACCGATCCCTATTTTGGTCCCCTTGCTTCATGATTTCCTCTGGCAAATGCTTACTTGAATCACAACCAAGTGACTTCATGATCCCCTCCAGCTCCAGAGCTGAGATTAGGCCATTTCCATTTGCATCAAAGGCCTGGAAGGCTTGCTGTAGGCGTAGTAGATCTCGGGCAGGATGCAGTCCACCGGTTCTCAATGAAGGGGATCCTGAGAGCACAAGTTGCTGGTTTTGAGCCATTGTTGGGGGATTTTGTATTTACGCAAATTCTCACCACTAGCTTCTTATAGAGCTTGGTGAAGAGAAATAAGAACAACTATGGGCCAGTGTAGGCATGAAGAAAAGGTAAAGGGGAGGTTTGGAATCAAGGAATTGTTCATCCTTTTCCTACTTTGTGTTATTTCACTTTATGCTGCCTACAGTGGAGATTCAAAGTTGAAATAAACAGCAAAGGGCAGTGTCTCAAAAGAAAGTAAGGCTTTTGTGGTGGCATCTTGGTTTAGTAGTTAAGATGGACCCCTTTAGGTTTTTAGGTTTTGGGACTTTGTCCTATAAAAAGAAGGAAAAAGTTTATATAAATTTGTATTCTACATAAGTAAGGTGCTTCTAAAAAATAATGTGAAAAAAAGCGTTTCGAAGTTGGACCTTCTAATTGATCATCTCGACCTTGACATATGTATGGTATAAATATGAAAAAAAAAGAATTTAAAGTCCTCAAAATAATTCATCTTATAACAACTTATTTGAACCATCTATTTTAAAGATTTTTGAAGTATTTATAGATATGATCAATTTGCATTGTATTTAAAATTTTAAATTTCATAGTTAAACATCGATTTTCAAGCCAACGTAAGGTTTCCTACATAGCAATTACATTTTTCCAGAAAATTTAGATGTGCGCCACACTTATATAATATAAAGTGGGCACCTTATACAAACTTCACCCTAAAAAGAATGTTATCCGCTACATTTGAAATCAGATGACTAGATATGAGAGAGAATTTTATTTGGACTATAAGAGGGATCAACGTCACACCCCCAACCACCCAATTTGGCATTTGACGACTAATGATGATTGTGATCTCTTTATGCCAAAAATAAATGATCGATGATTGGGATCTCTTTATACCAAAAATAAAGAGAAAATTATATATATATATATATATATATCCGTTATACTTTACATTATTACGGCTACACCTAATAGTTCCCGTTATTACGGCTACACCTAATAGTTTCCGTTATTACTCATCTGTATGTTTTTTATCTTTCAAAACGTCTTTTTTTAAAAAAGACACTTTTGCCTTTTTTCGGATGTTCAACATCCAAAAACAGCCACAGTTAAAACAGTCACGTATCAAATTTCGGATGTTGAACATCCAAAATTCTAAGAATTTCGGATGTTGAATATCCGAAATTTTGAGAATTTCAGATGTTGAACATCCGAAATTTTGCTTGCCAAGACTTCCGTGCATGAGCGAAAACTTATATATTTTTATTTTTATAAAGTTAGGAAAAATCGATCATTGAAAGAACATATCCCTTTTACTGTCCCTTAATATAGTAACCCACAAAGTTGAAGAGATTGACTCACTATTTGGACGTAATTGGTACCGTTCTTACTCTTTCTTTATACGGTTGATTAATTAAAGTTTATTTATTTGTTATTATTTAGAATATTTAATTTTGTTAATAACATTTGTTGTGTATTTGAGATTAATAAATGGAATTTGTTTAATATTGATGAAGTTATTTTTTTATATAATTATTTGTTGTTTTTTTATATAATTATTTGTTGTTTGTATCATGTTGATACATTGTATTCTTTGTTTTGACGAACTAATTGTTAAACTTGTTTGTTTGTAATAAAATTTATTATTTATTTTGTATTTATGTGAGTATTACTCATAATTTTAGTAGTACACTATTTCAATCTATTTTGTAATGATATTCATATTTTATGAACCCTAAAGTAGTTATAAATATCCCAATTTTTGGTAATTTTTTTGTAACACTAATTTTGCTATTCATTTAATACATGAGTATTGACGATCGCTACTGACAATTTTAGTAGTACACTATTTCAATCTATTATGCAATACTCAGATTTTATGAACCCTAAAATAGTTAGAAATATATCAATTTTTGGTAATATTTTTGTATTGATTTTTTATAACAGTAACTTTGTTATTCATTTAATACAGCAGTATTGACGATGGCTACTAAAGGAGTGCAACTGATAATGTTATTTATAAAGGATGAAAATTAAAGGTCACAAAGTATAATGGGAATAGTTCCTTGGAGGAACTAAAAAGTTATTTTACACATTTAATCTAGTGTGATCCAAACAAATTAGCTATTATGTACCACAACACAAGTCTATCTAGTGGACTTGATTTGATTGATGTTAGCAATGATATAGATGTATCCATTATGTTGGGAGGGGAATCTTCGAGAATTGCAGTATATATTGCCGAGGTACAACAAGAATTTGTTGCTGAGGGCCCATCTTCAAGGAATAGATATATCTACAATTTATTTTTTCATCTGTAAATTGCTTTATTTGAATCTTATATGTGTAGAAATTGTTGCTTCATCTTATATTCTATCTTTTGTCAATAGTCGGCGTAACACTTTACCTGAGTAAGATCAAAACATTGGAGTGGTGCCCAACCCTGAGCTCGTACCAGAGCGTAATATGGAGGACATTGAACCACTAGAGAGTCCATGTAGAGTAGTTGGTAACGAGGTTTAATTGAATGTTGGGCAATTTTTTGAAAATATTAATGCATGTCGGCATCATCTAGTTGATTTTGCAGTCCACAACAATTTTGTTTTGAAGTTTGACAAAAGTGAATTAGGACGGGTGTGAGAAAGTTGCAAGGCAGATGGATGCACATGGCAAGTGCGATGCTTACGAGTTGGCAGTACCGCATACTTTAAAGTGAAGTCTATAGTTAAGGAGCACACATGTAGTGGTCCAATGGTGAGGGTCCATCAGCCACTAGCTCGTAGTGATTGGGCGGCAAAAAAGATTAAAGGTCGCCTTCTTGACCAACCAAAAATTAAAGCAAAAGATATTGTAAATGATGTTCAACGTCATCACGGGGTCAGGCTTTCCTAGATGCAAGCTTGGTAGGGAAAAAAAGTTGCTAGAGAGATGATAGATGGATCGCATGAACAACAATACCATGACCTCCCCCTGTATATTGAGAAGATCAGAAGAACTAAACCGGGAACTGAAGTTCGCATCCACACAGATGAACGCAGGTTCAAATGACTATTTATTGCCTATCGTTCATGCATTATGGGGTTTGTCAATTGATGCAGGCCACTAATTGGTATTGATGGAACATTCCTAAAAGGAAAGTATCAAGGCATATTATTGTGCGACATCGCGGTAGATGCAAATAATGGGCTCTTCCCATTGGCATTTGCAATGGTTGAGAAGGAGAATTACCAGAGTTGGTATTGATTGTTAAGTATATTGAGTGAGCTCTTAAATGGGTACCCTAATCTGCCTGCCTTAGCCATTATATCAGATCAACAGAAAAGCCTGCTAGAAGTAATAGAAAAATGTTTTCCAACATGTTTTCCATCATTTTACGTGCGACATGTGGGAGAAAACTTCAAGGGTTTTATGAAGAGGTCAACAAATACATGACAAAAAAATGGACATCATTTCTGGATAGATATGAATTTCATTTTCTTATTTTAAGGCTATCACAATTGTTTCCATTGCTGATTATATGATTTTGGATGCACAGTAACTGTTATTTTCACCACCATCAATCACAAGAAGTAATGTAAATAATGGTAAATTAATAAATCCCATTAATGTTATATCGAATGTATACTACATAGCTCTAGGAAGTGATATGATGCTAAACCCAATACACATATGCAACCACTAACAATCAAATTTCACCAAGACTCTAAGTCGTCTCAAGATGGCCCATGTAGTAACCAAAAATGAAGAGAAAGAAAGGATGACCAATATTGGCACATAAGCACAGCACACATTGATATCAAGAGTGATACTAAAGATTTTGCAATATATTTAGTGAGTAGAAATAATACAAATACTATAAATTTTCATAAAAAATATGCTAGCTCTATATGACCCTCAAAATGACCCATTACAAAATTGAGATCCTCAAAATGACCCATTGCACGCCTCGCCTTCTCTTAGGCTGATACTGTTTATTTCATGTGTTATATCTTCTGGGTTTCTTAACTACAGATTGTGTGGAGGGAGCTAAGTCTTCTCAGCCCGACTACTTTGACCCACTCCATCATCTCCAGCCTCGTCAGGTACATCTTCATCATTATATTGACGTTGTATATTGACGTTGGAAATACTCCATCCTGGCTTCTACATCACCCATATCCACAGGCACAAACTTAGACAACATTCAAACGCGTTGTTAACGCGATTAAGAACTTCATGGTACCACTTTTGTCTAAGTGTAAGTGCCTCTACCAACATGACTATAGATACCTTAACTGCACTAACCTGCACAACAAGATTACATAATTAGCATATCTAAACAATTGAATAGAACTAATAGGTAAATAAAATACTATAAGAATTTATAGATCAATAAAAAAGTACCAACTAGTCCTCATAACCTCGAGGTCTCATTATATATTGTGGTTCATGAGCAGGAAGCACTTCTTTTTCTTCATGGATATGAGGTTGCAATATGTCTTTGGGTGGGTTAGCGATATTATGTATCAAAGGGTGGGACACCAAGTTGTACCAGGCCTTATACTCCTCTGAAGACAACCCATTGTCAGTATCTTATTGAATATCAGGCATGATGCGGTCATGGCGAGACAACCAGTTAGCGATTTTATCTGCATTGACGTTACGCCAGTCTTGTTGTCCAACTTGTCTGTTTGCCCTCTTACTAAGGGATTCCTAGGAATGCCCTGTTTTGCTCCAAATTATCGGCATACTCTGTCTAGCATGTATAGCTCGGCAATATCGTCAAATATCAAAGTTGTAGGGCACATTACAGTTTGAAATGCCTGCTGCCTATCATCTGAAATGGCTTTTACTTCACCCATATCCATAGGCACAAACTTAGACAACATTCAAACGCGTTGTTAACGCGATTAAGAACTTCATGGTACCACTTTTGTCTAAGTGTAAGTGCCTCTACCAACATGACTATAGATACCTTAACTGCACTAACCTGTACAACAAGATTACATAATTAGCATATCTAAACAATTGAATAGAACTAATAGGTAAATAAAATACTATAAGAATTTATAGATCAATATAAAAGTATCAACTGGTCCTCATAACCTCGAGGTCTCATTATATACTGTGGTTCATGAGCAGGAACCACTTCTTTTTCTTTATGGATATGAGGTTGCAATATGTCTTTGGGTGGGTTAGCGACATTATATATCAAAGGGTGGGACACCAAGTTGTACCAGACCTTATACTCCTCTGAAGACAACCCATTGTCAGTATCTTATTGAATATCAGGCATGATGCGGTCACGGCGAGACAACCAGTTAGCGATTTTATCTGCATTGATGTTTCGCCAGTCTTGTTATCCAACTTGTCTGCTTGTCCTCTTCCTAAGGGATTCCTAGGAATGCCTTGTTTTGCTCCAAATTATCGGCATACTCTGTCTAGCATGTATAGCTCGGCAATATCGTCAAATATCAAAGTTGTAGGGCACATTATAGTTTGAAATGCCTGCTGCCTATCATCTGAAATGGCTTCTACTTCACCCATATCCACATGCACAAACTTAGACAACATTCAAACGCGTTGTTAACGCGATTAAGAACTTCATGGTACCACTTTTGTCTAAGTGTAAGTGCCTCTGCCAACATGACTGTAGATACCTTAACTGCACTAACCTGCACAACAAGATTACATAATTAGCATATCTAAACAATTGAATAGAACTAATAGGTAAATAAAATACTATAAGAATTTATAAATCAATATAAAAGTACCAACTGGTTCTCATAACCTCGAGGTCTCATTATATATTGTGGTTCATGAGCAGGAACCACTTCTTTTTCTTCATGGATAAGAGGTTGCAATATGTCTTTGGGTGGGTTAGCGACATTATGTATCAAAGGGTGGGACACCAAGTTGTACCAGGCCTTATACTCCTCTGAGGACAACCCATTGTCAGTATCTTATTGAATATCAGGCATGATGCGGTCATGGCGAGACAACCAGTTAGCGATTTTATCTGCATTGACGTTTCGCCAGTCTTGTTGTCCAACTTGTCTGCTTGCCCTCTTACTAAGGGATTCCTAGGAATGCTCTGTTTTGCTCCAAATTACCGGCATACTCTGTCTAGCATGTATAGCTCGGCAATATCGTCAAATATCAAAGTTGTAGGGCACATTACAGTTTGAAATGCCTGCTGCCTATCATCTGAAATGACTCATTATGGTTGAAATAGGGATTCCAGATTACCTGTTTAATGATATGCAATCAGTCAATAAAAATAATTACAAATACTTAAATACTATTGAAAGAAATCAATATCAAATTATATACTACCCTCATTAGGTTGGAGGTTATCAATTTATTGTCTGATGGGAGTCATTAAGTTATGTGGATTGCCATGATATTTCTTCGGTGGCTCCCATCTTTTGGCCTTAGACATATTTGGAGGGATACTATGCGATATGGGCCTCATATGCATAATATGCTCATATGACCAGCACTGCAATAAATTGAGTATGATAAATATTAAATATATTAAGAAAACAGTCTAAACTATTACGCTTATGTCATATACCAAAACAAATGGTTACCTGCATGAGAGTGGCTAAACTACTAAAATATCTTCGCTTGAAAGTACAACCTTTTCCAAGTGAGCGATAAAGGAATGCAAGGGCTACAACACCCCAAGCATATGTGCTAGCGCCCTCAATATCTTCGAAAACCTACAGGTACCTTGTTGGCACTGTTGAAACTGATACATTAGTGAATATGGTTACACTTATGAGGAAGAACATATATGCTCAAGTATATCTATAAACTTGAACTGGGGTTGCATCAAGTGGCAATTCCCTAAAATTCGCCTTCAACTATGTATGCCTCAAGCTTACCAAGTTGCCATCAGGAACTAGACCCAAATTATCTTCTACAAACTTTCATAGGTCCTTGATAGGAGGACATGTGACTGCGTCGCCATCCACAGCCAGTCTTAATATCTCGTATACATCAAAAAGTGTTGGTGTCATCTCACCAATATGAATGTTGAAATAAAAGGCGTTGGTTTCAGAACGCCACCTCTCTATATGAGCTACGACCAAAGGATGATCAATTAGGCCTGGCCGAATGATAGCCAACAGACCCAACCTAGAAGCATGAACTAACTGAACTTGCTCTCTTGTTAATTTCCATTCATTTAATTGATAAATATTATCATCAATTCTAATTTCTTCTTTCTCTTGAAATACAACAAATAGACAACATATTAGAATCAATATATATACATGTACATTCCATAGGATATTTGAATCAGATTACCATTTATTGAAAATTAACAAATAAATAGAATGGGTAGATGAGTATATGCATATACATGTCCTTCCCATATGAAATATGAGCAATATTCTGGATGAAGTTGCAACAAACTAGGACCTTGAGGACCTCCTGGATATCCTCCATCGGGATGTAAACGATCCATATTCACTGAAATCCCATATGGTCACCATGTTAATCATAAGGCTACACATGTAGAAATTAACTGGGTAACAAAAAAACAATAATGACATACTATTGATTGAGAAGAACATTACTACAATCCATTGATGAAAGAATAACAGTGCTAAAATGAAATTGCTATGCTAGTCCAACTAAGGATTGTATACTTGAAAATCGAAATCAGTCAGTGAATATGGTGGCCAAATAAAGAATTGATTCTTTGAGTCAAACAGACAACTAAAAAGAATTCAAAGAGTTATTCAAAAACCACTAAACAACTTCCATAATTAGCTACAGCAAAAAAACAGTCTCCTATCCAGCTCTTAAATCCAATTTAATATCTCTACTTGAAGAACCCCTTAATTAACCAGATATGCACAATCCTCATCCACTTCTTTTATCATTAACAAATTCAAAACCACGTGAAATACTACACTAAGTCCAATTCAATAGACCTCAACTAAATAATAACCAAACCCTAGATGGATAAACAAAAAAAAAAATAGTAGTCCCCTTTCATGTAACCATCCTTGACCAAAAACTAAAGAATTCAACTTAATGAGTAACAAAATTATTTCAACGGAATTCGACATTGATAAGCAACAAATCATTTCATTGTAAAGACAAGAATCCAACTTTCATAAGCAACTAAATCATTCCATCAAAAACAAAGAATTCATGTTAGCTCAGTAACCAGTCTATTAAAAAACCATGCAATTCAATACAAAACTGAAGAAATCGATTTATAAATAGACGAACGGCTCCATTAAAAAAGAAAAAATTCAATTTTATGTCAAGCATCAATTTCAAACAATAACAGAGAATAATACTACTTATAATACAAGCAACAGATTAAATCCAAAATATGCAAATATATGTAGTCATTGTTACTTGAATCATAAATCATAAATCATAATTCAAATAAATTCACTCATTAAATACTTTGCAAAATATTCAAAGTAAATATGTACTTGAATCATAAATCACATCCAATTTTCTTTTGGAATCAACTTTTGATAGATGTTATGAATTGTTTGGGATTAATGGTCTTTTCTTCAAAATTCCAGGGTTTTGCTTTGCAACTTTGCTAAGTTCAATATTTAAATTCTCTCTCACGGAGGTAGGACCACATACATTATGCTTCCTCAGGTGGATATTATACATTTAATCCCTTGAGCTAAATACTTCAGGAGGATTATTTTCAAAGAAAAAAAATTTGGATTTTATGTTTTCAAGCATCTAGATCATTTCCTCAAAAAAAATTTGAAATTCGTTTCTGGGTTCGAAAGATTAGATCCCCAAAATTTGGGACCATAAAGATATACCTAGTGTAAATTTGATTAGAGGGATAATATACTCCTGGAAATATTTTGGCTTGAGAGCAAAAATATTTTTTTATGAAAATTACACTACTTCTATTTGGCATGTGACAAATACGTAGAATTGTTTTTCCCGTAGGAAAATTTTTTTACCACAAATTGGATCAATTCCTGTAGAAATAGAACCACATTCACTTGAGGTGGGAAGTACTTATTATTTTCACACACCAGAGCCGCTCACTTTATCAAATGCAACTAATTTCGCCAAAACAGCTTCATGAATTAGAGAGAGAAACTATCTCGAATTTTAGAGAGAGAAAGTATCTTAAAATTTTAGAGAGAGAAGCTATCTCAAATTTTAGAGAGAAAAACTACTTAAATTTCTTTAGAGAGAGAACTTCTGTACAAATTTTTAGAGAGATAAACTATCTCAAATTTTAAGTTTTAAAGAGAGAGAATCTTAAAATTTTCGAGGGTGAAACTACATCAAATTTTAGAGAAAAAGTATTTGAAAATTTCTAGAAAGAGAAACTATCGCAAAATTCTTAAAGATTTGAGACAGAGAGAAAGTATATCAAAATTTTAGAAAGAGAAATGATATCAAATTTTAGAGAGGGAAACTACATGAAATTTTTTAGAGAGAAACTATCTCAATTTTACTTTTTAGAGAGAAAGTATCTTAGAATTTTAGAGAGAGAAACTATATCAAATTCTTACATAGAAACTTCCTGAAATTTTTTAAAGAGAAACTATCTCAAAATTTTTATGGAGAGAAATTATCTCAAAGATTTCAAAGAGATAAGCTATCTCAAATTTCAAATTTTTTGAGAGAGAAATGTCTAAAAAAATTTAGAGAGATAAACTACCTCAAAAATTATTTTGTAGAGAGAGAAACTGTCTCAAAATTTTTAGAGAAAAACTATATCAAACTATTAATTTAAAAAAAAACTATGTCAAAATTTTTAGAGAGAGAAAGTAAACTATTTCAAAATTTCAAGTTTATTGTATTTTTTCTTTCTCTCCATCCGTTTCCAAGTGTGCTTACTAAACATGGAAAAAAGCACGATTAAGTAATTTTTTTCCTGTAAATTGTTTGCTTATGTAAATATCTTTCATGTAAATATTTTCTGTCTAACTTTCAGACATACCAAGATGTTATAGACGAAAGAAATTATGTGAACCGCTAGATCAGCAAAGTGAAACGAACGGGGATCACTAAGATTTGAATCCCAACAACCACCATTGACCTTTACCCTTCTTGATAAGAGTTTAAATATCTGCTTCAACAAAAAGCACTAAATCCATCTTAAAGAAGTAGCCAAAAAGAAAACGAGGAAATCCATCTAAAAAAATTCCAAGATTTACTTGAGGCGTTACTTTGAATCAGCATTCGAAAACTCAAAAGGACCCAGTGAATTGGTCATTCATGAAACCGGTCCCGGATCAACAAATCGGGCAACCTAGATCAGTGGCTTGGCTAGTTTAGTCCGATTTGGCCTTAAAAAAAATTTCAAAAAACTGCAATGATTTCTTTGGATTCCAATTTTTTAGGTTTTCAAAAGATATAGGTGTCGTATTATTCTTTTTCATTATTTACCCCAAAATATCCTAATACTAAGAATTTGTTTTATGCTCGAGTGTCTGTTGACAATTACATTCATTTCTTTAAGCACTAGTTATAGCTCATCGAGTGAATGATGCGAATATACTAGTATAGAGAAGTAATTTTGCGAGCAACTTCAATCCAAAATTTTGCAAACCAACTAAACCCCATGATATTATTCTGTCATGATCATCTATCTAAACATAAACTAGATCAAGGAGCAAAGCTATATGGTAATTTTTATTAGATTATGTTGCCATCAAAACTACTGTCTTCAGATTAATGAACCAACTAGGAACTTCAATTTCTCAATGCTCACCACACCATCTCCATCATCCATAGCCTGTATGAGCTCTTGGCACTCCTTTGGTGTCAACCCCTCTCCAATACCTTCAAGAATCTCACATAGCTCCTCCTCACTCACCACTTCATTTCCATGTGAATCCAACATATCCAAAGCTTCGTTTAAAATATCCCCCAAGTCCCCTATGTCAACATGCTTCATGTTCAACTCCATGAACTCCTCAAGGCTGAGCAACCCATCCTTGTTTTGGTCCCCTTGCTTCATGATTTCTTCTGCCATATGCTTACTTGAATCATAACCAAGTGACTCCATCATACCCCCCAGCTCCGGAGCTGAGATGAGGCCATCTCCGTCTGCGTCAAAGGCCTTGAAGGCTTGTAGTAGGCCTTGGGCATGATTCAGTATACCAGTTCTCGACGAAGGGCATCTTGAGAGCACAGGTAGTTGGGTTTGAGCCATGGTTGGGGAGCTTTGTATTTACGCAAACTTCGTCGCTAGCCTCTTATAGTGCTTGGTGAAGAGGAATCAGAATAATTGTGGACCAGTGTAGCCATGGAAAAAAGGTAAAGGGGAGGTTTGGAATCAAGGAATTGTTCGTCCTTATCCTACTTTGTGTTCTGTCAGTTTATGCTATCAACAGTGGAGATTCAAAGTCGAAGTAAACACCCAAGAGCAGTGCCTTAAAACCCAAACCCACCTATTTAACCAATCGATAGCCAAATTTATATGGATTAGCGAACCAGATCGGAACCTGCTAGTTCTATAGGGAAAATTTCTACATAAACCAATAATAAAAACAACAACAACCACAAACAATAAAAAGTAGTTGGCCCACCAAGTCTGAAGAATTTTTATACCCAGACTTGACAGGCCAACTACCAATTCTGAAATAGTTTCGGGTCTGCTAGCCGGTTTTGAAAACATTGGCCAAGAGGAAAGCATTTTTTATCCTCATTACTTGTTGAGATTATTACCGACTATTTAGGGGATCTAATCTTTAAAACTCGTAATTTTGGGCAACGCCTTTCTCATTTGATAATATGCTAATGGTTTACACACCCAAACTCATAACTGCATTCAAAGACTACTGGTAGTGATGGATCAAAGAGCTACAATGTTTTGAAGTAACCTAGTGTCACACCTCATTCAGGACATCGCCATATTTAACCAATTTCTCATTCAGGACATTGTCATAGTTAACCATTTTTTTTTTTTTTTCAGGTAATTCAATGGGGAAGACAGGCACGCCCTACCTGTTTTCTTCAAATAAGTTTAGGTGTTAGTTTTTTTAAGGCGTTAGTGGGGTGGTGTTAGTGGGAGTGAAAATTAACTATGGTGTAGGGGTGCTACCACCCTTTTGAAAGATAGACCAAGGTGATCTTGCCGGGGAATTTATATATATAAATTTTTTATTTTATTCTTTCCACCAATTTTTTTTTCCGGTAAAGATCACTTACAAGCGGTCTTGTTACAATTATACTTGCTTTAAGAAAATAAAAGTAAAACCAACAAATCCAAGATCTTAAAACTTTGATATCATTAAACTAATTTTCCTTAAACAAAGAAAATAATGACTACTTCTCTCGTGCTTAGGAATGTAAAGACAATATAATTAAAAAGGCAAGAAATAAAAAGAAAAATTACGGAGGTTACCTCAACCGGGTTTATTCACTCCACACCGAGTCGCTACTATTCGATGGCGCGGGATTAACGATCAACCTTCAAGCTCAATAGGAAATAAAGTTTCAAGGCAAACCCTCTAATGGAACCATGAACTCCTCTTGATCTCAAAATTCAAACTTAGGTACAAACCCATAAAACCTAGTTCAATCAAGATAGAGTAACCCTTAGGTCAACCTAGAGAGAGACATAGTCCAAAAAGGTGGGGCTAGGGTTGGGGTGTGCCCCTTATTGCTATCAAGGAGAGAGAAAAATATTTACAGAGATGAGGGAAATTGATGTGTGGAGAATTATGGTAAAGGGCTCCTCTTTTTATAGTGCAAAAAAATAGGATAAGGGTTTCTATGGCTTGCCTTTTCTTTTGTGGATTGAATATGAACCGTTGATCATGGGTGACTTGTGGGGTGAGAAATTTGAGCTCTCGATTCCATAGATGGGATATGGAATGTGGTAGAACCCTTGTCCCTTCTCCTCCAACCATTTATCCCATAATATTGTGCTTTATCCAAAATATGTATAATCTTATCTAGCTTTTAAAAGATTCATTCAAATCTTCTTCAAGATAAATCACCAATCCAAATTTCATAATAACTTGGCCTCTAAGCCAAAGTTAATTACTCTTATCAACTCAATCCTACAAAATAAGAAAACTCCCTAAAAATGGGGTACAACCCATGGGATAGAAAGCCCTTAAAAATTGGGACGTGCCCCCCATGTAGTGGCTTTGTTGTCCCCACCAATTTAGGACATGGTGGGCTCATATGCACAATGGGCCCAATGCTATTTTTAAATATTTAAAACATAATAAAATATTTTAAAATTAATTTTAATATTTAAAATATTGAAAAATCAATATCTTTGTTTTTATAAATCAAATTTTATAAATAAAATATCTAGATATCTAGAAAAATTCAAATAATAATTTTAAAATCATATCATCATAAAATAAAAATAATTAAATTCATTAAATAGGATAACGATCCAAATGATCTAGGAATAAACATTTTGGGGCACTCCACCGTCAACCGTGGACTACGGTCTATACTTGCTTTATCAACTGACCCAGTGTTTCTCATGACCCACAGTCCATACAAGGACTTATTAGTGAGTCACCAAAGTCTGGTTGATGAGCCAATGGGTCGTAATCCTAGTTTGTAGATTTCAGGTATTCCCCTAGAGACGTGCTAAAGTCACCTACACCTAATGCGATTATAGCTCCTATGACGCATATGGGGTATCTCTCACACATGCATAAGCTTCATCCTAAAATGTAGTTCGCTTTCCCGAAACAGTTATCATTATGCACGTCATGCGATGGTACATAGATGAAGCTTTGGCTTACCTGTTTGAAGTGCCGCATTTCAATAGCGGGAAACAGATAGTAGAATTATCTATAGAAAAATGCTTTAGAAAGAGGAACAAAGGCAAAGAAAGACATAAGGCATCTTAGAGGTGTAGAGCAAGTATTGAGAGAGAGAGATAGATAAAAACATAGAACATAACTATTACCTATTGAGAGAGAGAGAGAGAAGAGGAGCACTTGTAGAGGCAGAGGCGATGAGTAATAGAGGCTTGGCGCAAAGCAATGGCGGATGAAGAAAAACCCTAATTCGTGAGTTTCAATAGAGAGAGAAGTTATGATACAATCCCCACTGTTCATCTTCCAAAAACATAGAGTGGTGATATATATATATATATAATTTTAATAACCAGGTTGAATCTGAAGCATATCCACTTGTACCCAGATTCAATCCGAATTACTCTTTGGATCTAAATCTTGGATTCACACCCAGATAGGTTAGAAATTTGGGTTTTGAATCCAAACTGGGCAAATGCTCAGCGCTAGGTTCCTCCCACCCATGGAGATGTCCACGGTGCCAGCAGAGGTTGTATACCATATAACTCGAACAGTTCTATGCATCAAACATTAATACACACCGGAGTTGTATGGTCAGCCAATATCATTAGACATCCCTATGGTGTAAAAAGAGATCCGCGTAGACTAAGGGCAAAAATTCATTGTTTATGGCATGGACTGCCTGGGTATCTAATCCTGTTTAGTCCCCTTGCTTTCGCGCGCGAGCGCGTCGGTTGGGAATCAAAGACCTGGTTTAAGGAAGGAACACATACCTCTTCTTTGTAGAGAGGAGTTCCCTTCTCTCTCTCTCCATAACCCCTACCTCTTTCTCTCTCCCTCCATGACCCCTACCTCTCACACCCCCTCTCTCTCTCTCCCTCCATGACCCCTACCTCTCTCACCATCTCTCTACTCCCCTCCCTCCCTCTCCATAACCCTTACCTTTCACACCTTCCCTCCCCTCTCTCTCTCCCTCTCTTACTCTTTAAACCCCGTTGTCTCTCTCCCTTCCTCATCTCTCTATATCGTTTGGATTTTTTAACTCGCTAATTTACTTATTGGATTAGAAAAACGAAACTAGTTTAGTGTAAGGACCCCTCGTTTTAGTTCAGTTGTATTTTCTACACAAAAAGTTGCACAACTCCAATTTGATTTATTTTTTCTAATTAGTCCTTTTTAAAAAAATCTTTTTATTTCTTTTTAACAAATTTCTAAAAGTCTGTGACTCATAGCTATAGTGTTAGCTTTGGTAGGGATTTTAGGTCAAATATTTCTTTTACTTGTTTATTTTGGTTTTCAAAGTGTTCTTTTAATAGTTTATTTTAAAATTCTATATTAGTAGAGTTAGAGAATATTTCTATAAGGGTGTGGTTTGCATAGAGCCTAGGCTCGAAACAATCAAATTAGAGCCTACCTTCAAATAGGCTTGAGAAATGTGGTTTCAATCCTAGAAATCTTTTTGAAAGCTTTAAATTTTCATTTTTAGTTACAAAGTTTAAAACTTAAAAAATAGTATAGATCGATAGATCTATAAAAACTTGAAAATATTGAAAATTGACAGTCCAAAACTGCATTACAAAATATACTATTTCCAAAACTTGAAATCCATTTTTTTTCTCATGTACACGCATCTTGATGTTGAGATGATCAATTTGAGGATATTTGGGCATCAAAACAATCTCTTCTAGTGAAATTTTTGAGGTACGCTCTTATTTGATTGTTTTGAGCCTTGGCTCTATATAAACTTTTCCCTTTCTATAAAAGGTTTCTTGTTTTGTAGTTAAAACATTTAATGAGCAAAAACAATTATTTTTATCAATTTTAGATTCAATAGAAGATGAGTAGAATACTTCTTCTTCTTAGGAGTTTTCTAAATTATTAGTATGCTTTTTTCTTGAAAAACATCTATTAGAATAATGACCTTTCTTTCCACATTTATGGCATGTAGGAATATTTTTTTGTTTTATTGTATTATCACTATCTTTAGTTTTATTTTTCTAATAAGTATTTTCTTAATTTATTTATTATCTTTTATATTTTTTGTTATAGGATTTTCCACTTTTAAAGTACTTTCCTAGTTTATTTGTAGGATGATATCTCTCTTTTTAAATCAGTTGTTGTTATATCTTCTCTTAATGTTTCTTAGTTCTGGTCTCTTTCATTATTTTTTTGAAATCATAAACAAAAGGTGAAATCTTTGTTCTTTTAAGGAAAAAGTTTATAGAACCGAGGCTCTAAACAATCAAATTAGAGCCTACATCAAAATTTCACTAGAAGAAATTGTTTTGATGCCCAAATATCCTCAAATTGATCATCTCGACATCAAAATGTATAGACATGAGGAAAAAATGGATTTCAAGTTTGGGAAATAGTGCATCTTGTAATGCATTTTTGGACCACCAATTTTCAAGATTTTCAAGTTTTCATAAATCCTCTCAATCTACACAAATTTTGA